GAAAGGACACGGACAAATTGGAGAGAGTCCAGAAGAAGGCAATGAAAATGTTTAGGGGGCTGGGGCACATGTTTATGAGGACAGGCTGAGGGAACTGGGCTTATTTAGTCTGTAGAAAAGAAGACAGAGCAGGGATTTGATAGTAGCCTTTAACTACCTGAAGGGGGGTTCCAAATAGGAGGAAGCTAGACTGTCCTCAGTGGTGGCAGATGACAGAACAAAGAGCTATGGTTTCAAGTTGCAGCAAGGGAGGTTTAGGTTGGATATTAGGAAGAACTTTCTGACTAGGAGGGTGGTGAAGCACTGGAACAGGTTACCTAGAGAGGTGGTGGAATATCCATCCTTGGAGGTTTTTAAAATTGGGCTAGACAAAGCCTTGCCTGGAATTATATAGCTGGGGATGGTCCTGCTTTGAGCAGGGGGTTGGACTAGATGCCCTCCTGAAGTCCCTTCCAACCCTAATTTCCTATGATTCTATGAATAGACAAAGTTTTCTCTTGCAAAGAACTTAGAAAGACCACAGTAGAGCAGAATAGTTTTGAACCCTATGGATTCCTATTTGAAATCTCTTGGTTTATCTTGTGAATCATGTTTGCACACCTGACAGTGCTAACATTATGCCACAGGACACTGGCCTAGAGCATCCATACCAGATCAGTACTGCACAGACCCACAGAAGCCATGAGCCCATGACCCAAAGAACTCACAGTCTGGCTAGGGAAGGTAGACAGCACATGGGAGGGGAAACAGAGCTTCAGAGAGAGGAAATGCCTCACTCCAGGTCACACAGCAGGTCAGTGGCAGAGACATGAAGAAAGAGAGGCCTCCAGGCTCTTACAGTGCCTTGGTGTAACGCCCTGCCTCCCTGGTTCCTGACAGTTTAAAGGTGCAGCCCTTCTTAGTTGTCAGGGGCTCTCTTTGCCCAGCTTCGGGCCCCCCTGCTCCATGCTGTTAATAAAGGTCTTCAGTAACAACAGATCCAGTGGTGGATGAGCCTGATCTGTTGCAGAAATCTCTGTGCCTATCCCCATGGAGAAAGGAGCAAATCAGTGTCATGGGGCAGTGCATGGAACGCGCACTGTGCCTCTGGGAGGGGGGTAGAAGTGGGCAAGATAAAGGCTTTTTGTAGCAGGTTGGCAGAGCTCCAAGCTGCTTGTGGAAGGAATGAGATCCTGTTCTGTACACAGCCTCCAGGGACCACAGGCTGGTGACTGTTTGCATGGAGTGGCCTCATAAAATCAGATCTCTGGTTCTTACGGTCTTAGAGCTAGGACCTAGGACTCAAGATGCCTGGGTTCAGTTCTGGGCTCTTACAACCAGCTCCCTCAGTAATTACTGGTATAAGCTTATAAAACAGGGTCCTGTGGCTCCCACAGCTTCAGAACTCACAGTTTGGGGTCAAATCATACTCCAGCTTTCCCTTGCAAAAAAGTTTGTAACTTCAAAAACATGGGGCAGAAGGGAGGCCCATCTCTGAGCCTGCATTAGTGGCTGGGAGGGGGAGGTCGAACGGTCCCTGCATCAGAAATTGCAGCCCTGTTAACAATGCTGTCCTTTCAGTTACCGCTGAAAGCATTTCCATCACCTAAAGCAGGGGTGGCCAACCTGAAATGTGAGAACCACAAGTAGCACAGGTGGATCAGGGAGGGGATAGGCAGCACAGTGGCAGATAGGGTAGGAAGCAGAAAGCAGAGCCTCCAACTGGGCAGGGAGCACAACGCAGAGCAGAGGCAAGCAGGGAGCAAAGGGCTGGGAGCAGCAAGCAGAACAGCAGATCAGGTGGGGGAAGAGGATCCACATGGCACTTGGGGAGCATTCAGGGATAATTTGTGGCATGCCTGCCAAAAATGTAGGTCTCCTACTGCCCTAAAGGTTCCCAACATATTGTTTTTGACCTCCCTGCCCCACTGGGGCCTGCTTGGCACTGCTGCTTGCTAACCAGCCTTCTCCACATGGGGGAGCTCACAGATTTCACTTGTGGGCATGGAGGCTAAGTCATAGGGAGGCAACGGCAGGGACATATGGAGTCCGACTGTGAAGGGGTTATCTCAGCTGCTGCACAAGCTGGAGGACGAGAGAGTTAAATTGAGGCTTCCCACCTCCCAGACAGGCTGACTGCTGGGCTAGGGAAGGGAGAGGTTCCTCTGTGTGAAGGTGGAGCTCCTTAGTTTCATACCAAGAGGGATTGAAAAAGAGGCAGGGCCACACTCATATGGGCTATCAGCTGGCAGCTGCTGGTTTGTCTTCTACTCTGCCCCTTGGTAGACAACAGGCAATGCACAGAAGTGGGGCAGGGCCTGGCCTCCGCTTGGTGCCACTAGAAGATGCTGGGCAGCCCTGGCCTTCGCTCTTGCACCTGCCTCTTGTGGCCTGGTATCTCCTTAGTTGCTGCCCAGCTGTGAAGCACTGGGTTCTAGCCCCTTCTTGGCAGTAAGAGGGAAGCCCACAGGCAAGGGGAGTCTTGACCTGGGGTAGCTGCCAGGTAGGAGGCAGGGGGCTGCCACCCAGAACATTGGCCAGTGGAGCCAAGTTCTCCTAGTGGGACTGAGCAGAGCCCGAGCTCCATCCCACTTCCCTGGAATGCCTCTAGTCCACACCAGGAGTTGACTTACTACCCCAGGGAGACAGCCCAGCAGCTGGTTTACCAGCCTGCCAAGCTTGAGACTGGCCACCGTCTCAAACCCAGCTCCTGACCCTTTCCTTGCTTGTTGCCCCCTCTTTTCTTTGCACCCTCTTAGACATGAAACCAAGACTCAGCCCTGCCCAGCAGTTGGCCTGCATGCGTGGGTTGTGGGTTGGAAGGCTGGCCAACCAAAGCTGTGTTGCTCAGTTCAAGGCCTCCCTCATCATGGGGATTACTTGTTGGGTGGCTTCTCTCCAGGACCACTGCTTTTTCTTAAAACTCCCTCTTGGAATGACAATTAAGGAGCCCTACTTGCAAGTCCAAGAGCCCCCTGGATTTCATGGCCTAGACCAGGGGTTCTCAACCTGTTCAGAATCAAGGCATCCCCAGTACATTCAAGGCACCTCTTGGAAAATGCCAACTCCTATATCCCAGGCTAACATAGACCGCCTGACTAACTGCATGTCTTAGATTGCGTTAACATATAGCAACTATGTACCCATGTAGCTACCAAGCATGGGGTCCTACAACTTTACAAAGCCTTGTCAATAACCATGATTTTTAACATTTTCTAATAACATTTCTAATCTGTTCTTCACTTGGTGTTTGGATGACAGAAAAAGAATAGAGCAGGTCTGTTGCAACACAGCAGCACCCTGGTTGAGAATCACTGGCCTAGACTATGTATGAAGAGACCCAGATGAGTTCAAGGGTCTCCTCCGCTTTGCACAGGGTGGAGGTGGCTGCTCAGCTTTTTTTACCAATCCAGAGAGCCACCTGTCCTCTGGGTAAGGCAGGGAACAGCCTTCAAGGGCTAATAGAGGTCATGATCAGACCCAGGGCAGGGAGTAGCATCCAATCAGTGGTCAAATGAGGTCAAGCTCCATATGAATGTCTATCTCCATCCGGTGGGTCAGGGAGCAGGAGAGCCTTGAACTCAGGTCTCTCTTTCAGATTCATAGACCAGAAGCTGGCTTTCTTGAGCTTCTTGACAGGGCACCCAGTGCTTCACTTAAAGTTATGGCCACACCAGAGTTAAAGTTCACCTGAAGTAAGGTTTCTACCCCAAGGTAAGGTTTCTGGCTCTATTTAAAAGCAGTTGAATGGGGCTGTCAACTGGGAGCTCATAAACAGAAGCATTGAGTGGTACATGGGCAGAAAAAGGCTCACTTGATTTGCAGACCATCACAGCCATTATAAAAGGAGAGAGAGGGTGGTTGACACCTGTGGGATGGAGAGTTTGGAAGGGATCAGATGGACGACAATGAGCCCTGAAGTCAAGAGACTCCCTCAGAAGTGCTGCTGCCACTGCCAACCAGTTGGCTTAAACTTGGGGTGGAGCAGGGAGCAAAGCGGGGTGCCACTGCATCCCTGAATCTGCCTCTGGTTTGAACCCAGGCTCTTGGCTTTCGAAGGCCAGCAGTGCTACCTCGGCTCTCACACAGGGACTCTTGGCTTTCTTCTTGTCTGTGCTGCCACAGGGGCCTTTGCCCCCCTGGGATGGGCAAATTATGGAGGTTTTAATGACCACAGTAGGCCTTAGGATAATTGAATGACTTAACAGCAACAAAATAGCTTAGAAGCAGACATGGAATGGATGCGGCTCCTATTTAGCATGCAGCTATTTTCTGTTTCAATCTCTGCACGACTGCTGTCTTGTAAACCAGAGACTTTTTTTTTTTTAACCCCATATAGCCACTTTTACTCTCGGCAGTTGAGCTTCACCTCTGTTAACAGTGCCGGGAGGGCAAATACAAGGGTCTTCATCGAGTCCTTGTGCTCAACCTAAGTTATTCAAGTTGAAAAGTGCACGAGGACTTGATGAAGACCCTGTACAGATAAGTTTCCTGACTGGTATAAAGTTCATCCCAGCGTTTTCGTAGTTCAGAGGAGGCGGAGGAGGAGGAGGAGGAGGAGGTCCCCCCGCTGGCCCTGCGGCGGGCTGGGGTGTCAGCGCCGCGTTGCGTCAGGGTTGGCGGCAGCGGGTTTGGGTGCTGGTTGCGCGGGAGGGTTTGATCCTGCCTCAGGCAGGGGGTGGGCCGAGATGAGCTCCGCGGGGCTGTGAGCCAGCGGGGCCTGCAGAGGCGCGGGGCCGGCCCCGCGGGGAGGGGGACTCGTCCCGTCCAGGCCCGCTCGGGGCGCCTTGAAATGTGAGTCCCGCCCGCGAGCGGGAGCCAGCGGGGCCGGGCTCGCGCCGCCCGCCTCCGCCTCGGTTGCACACGCAGGCGGCTCGGGGCGGCCAGCCCGCGGGAGCGGCCGGGGCACCATGATCTGCGGCCGGAGGAAGAAGAAGCCCCGCGTGGAGCAGCAGCAGCAGCAAGTCCCTGCGCAGGACGGCTGCGGCGG